TTTCCTTTAGGATAAAATAAAAAGTCGGTGGCGACTCTTGCTCAACCGAAACATTTGCGAAAACAAACGAAAAACACTAGTCAGTTCTCCCACCGTATCACAGTACTCATAAATAAATATACCAGTTCCCGGTCCAGGAGAGGAGGTTGAACCCTCGCAGCAAAACTGCGCCACCTCTATGCATACTCTTTGAAAGAATCATTAGTCTTCTGAGACATACTCTGCAACTGTGAACGATTAGGCTCCATAGCAGTTTTGTAATGATAATGTTTTAGGAAAGCATCAACAAGCTCACCCTAAGTACTAACATGAGTTTGCTCCAACTGTATGTACCACTCTAATGGAGCTTCAACCAGACTTTCCTGAAAGAAATGCATAAGCAATGACTCGTTGCTAGCATAAGAAGCCATCTTCCTGTAATAAGATTGGAGATGAGTCTCTGGGCATGTAACCCCCTTATACTTGTCGAAATCAGGTACCTTAAACTTTGGTGGAATCACAACCCCTGGAACAAAACACATATCAGCAAAATTGAATCCCGGTTTCTTGGAAGTCTCCATAGCCTTCAGGCATTCTTCCAAAGCCTTGTACATCTTAGCAATTTCAGACAAATCATCTGTAGAATCCTTTGGAGGGTCATCGAGATCGATGACATCATGGTGGTCATCCACAATCAGTCGGGGGTTCTCTCTAGGAATTCCCCCATTGTCATTTCTAGGTCCACTATTCTCGGATGTAGAGGCATTGTCAACCAGCTTAGTAACACTCAATCCGAGCTCTTCTCGCCCTTGGATGACGGTATGAAGAGTTTCCATGAGCTGATTCATGTGATCGCCCATGGTGTCTATGTCTTTGCGAAGAGCGGCCTGGTTTTTCTCAATCTGTTCCATAATACTCAACTTGTTGGCTCGAGTGCAATAAGGATGTAAGGAAGTTGTCTTGTAGATTCTGATAATAAGAGGCAAAAACCATCAAATAAGAATTCCTTCCAAAAAACCTGCAATTTATGAAATGCATGATATGTATGACGTATGAAATGATTGTCCATTCCAGCTTTCCATAACTAATTTAACGTCAGTAATAATCGAGCAACATGATAATAAGAACAACCATATAAAGAAAATATCCAGAAATAGGAGAAATTCCCACGGAATTCAATACAAGAGAGTTGCGAGAATATGAGATAAGCCATTCCATCCAACAAGCCTGCCAGTAATCAAGACAATAATATAATAACTAGTCTGGAGGTAGGCTACCATTCTTTCTCTATCTATATCCCATATTACTACGGCCCAAATAAAGTGCCTTAGCAATAGCTTCAAAATCGGGCTTGTTCAGAACATCAATAAATATGTGCTTGGTAATCTTGAACAAATGAGAATACTCTTTCAAAGTTGGAGTGATCTGATGGTTTTGGAAGGCGAAACAGCGCAACTCATGGTCGTGAAACTAAAGTAGAGTCAAAGGGCTACCATGTCTTTCACTGAAAGCCTCTGCATTAGGACGAACTAAACGATCTTTTAAACTCTTCGAAGAAGGCCAAGAACTTGAGCGGAAAACTTGAGCGGAACTGATAAGTACAATTGTCTCTTCCGGTATTCTTGAGAATATCACTGTTGCTAGACGTTACTGACGGAAACTATAACTTCGTGAGACACCCCAGAATGGACATGCACATCCAAGGTTAGTGTATAGTTTCATTTTTCTGACATTTCTTTTTGAAAAGTAAATATGCTATGATGTAAGTGAAAATGATCATGGGGTTACTACTTCTATGATACTGATTTCTGATGTACTGTCTCTGCATATTCTGTAAGTACCAAGATCACAGGTTAGGATAATAGGCCAAAGAACCTCATAAATATATTCAGATCTCAAAATAAATTTGAAATAAATCTGAGAACCTCATAGTTACCAACATAAATCTAGAGTATAACCATTAGAACCAACAGTCACTGCCTGTGCATAGTCACCATCTGAACATAGTCACCAACTGTACCTGTGATGAATAATTCCCTCCCCACTCACGGGTGAAGACTAGGTCGGGGTAAGGCAAGGGTAACTCAGAATCGAGGGTACTCCTGAAAAACTATCATCGTATCACCTACGTGAAAATGATAGCCCTTATTTGTACCTCATATGAGCGTGGATGACATGGCGGCAATAGTGAAACATAAGTCAACTAGCCAATCATGTTCCACTCTATTCCTAGGGTTCCTATGGTTGTCACTTGGCCTGGGTATTAGGACTTTTACCTCATAGTAACACCCACCCAATAAGAAGCAGATTCAGTACAACAGTAGTATATGGTAAACAGTAAAATGTAATGCATACATATGCTCAGGCATATACAAAATGAATGAATAAGAAGAAAGCATAAAAATAAACACCCAAAGAAAGGAAACAAGAGCTAGGAGCGACTCCGAGATAGACCAGCATTTGGTCGACCTATCCCCAGTGAAGTCGCCAGCTGAAACAACCGGCTGAAAATCATCAAACAATGAAGTCACCATCGAACGTGTTTTAACCCAAATGAAGGGAAAGGTAAACATCAAGAAAACCTGAGAAGGGAGAAGTCACGGTCTTGCGACCGAGAGATCGGGTAAGGGAGTCTGTTATGCGAGAGAAAGGTATTAGAACCCCACACATTCGTAGTACTCTACGGTATCCATTCTTGTTGTCTATCTTATAGGTGTGTTTATACTATGCTTATTGTTTATTACTGCTAAATGGAGAATGCATGCAAAAGAAAGGAGAAAAAAATGTAGGGAAAATAAAGTTGTACTTGCTTGGGCCCTACCCCAATGCCTACGTATCCTTTTTGAGGAATTAGAGCTATCGTAGTTCGGCTCACATGTTTTTGTTTGTTTGTGTTTTTTATGGACAATGTTAATTCCGCCTTCTGTCGCAAATCTACCTTTGGAGACTTATGCGTTGGCACAGAAGTAGTCATGTCCTTACTTGTAAAAGGTTTTGATTTATGCCCTCAAGGCAAGATGCCACTTTTGATTGGTTTGTATTTTGTTACCCTGAAAAAGGGTTTAAGTGAGATTAGCATGTTTTATGATTTGCTAAAGATAGTTTTATTTTTGAATGCAAGGATGCAAAAAGGGGAAGAAAAGAGTCTAAGGGAGACTAGCCTATTTCTAACCTAATGTTATCATACAATGGTGGTCCTAAGATTTGGATTAACAAAAGGGAAACGTCTACCTAATGTTAGCATGCATGGTTTACAACCTAAGGTCTAACTTGCGTCAGAAGGGAGCAAGCACGTCCTAAGGGAACATGGTATGTACAAGGATAAAGCAAGCAAGCTTGAAGAAGCATACACAGAGAGATCATATCTAGGTTAGCATGCCAAAGAAAATCTAACAAAACTATCCTATAGGGAACATGCAATGAGAGCGAAGTCGTGATCTCAATTTCTAAATTGAGTGACTCATCGATCAACAAGAAATAAAGGAAAGCGGTAAAATCCTATAGGGAGCATGAACTGAGAGCGAAGTCGTGATCTAAATTCCTATATTGAGTGACTCATCGATCAATAACCAAAGAAACAAACACAAGCATAACACATATAGCAAATGAAGTGCGGAATGCCTGTTATAGGTCTTTAAATAGCAATTTCGAGCACATGCTCTTTATTTCCTACTTCTCACGGTATCTAGAAAGCAATAAAATCCTACTTCTCATGATATCTAGAAAAGCAATAAATAAATGTAGTAAAGTGTGAATAAATACAAAAGTAGGAGGTGATAATACCAATCAAACACAAGTTCGTCACTTAGCAGACGAAAGCCGAGAAACCCGAAAACTTCGTATAAGCTTCACCAAGCAACAAAGTAATCAGGAAATCAGATATAAAAAATGAGCGTCGAAGCGTCCATGTGAAAATAAATCACATGTATCCTAATTATCGTGTAATAGCCCTATACAAAAATACAAGACCATACAATGCAAAAATTTTCCACTAATGACTCATGGTGCGAATAAATATCCGTTGGAAGTATTAAACCATTTCTTAGGCCAAGAAAATTGAACCAAGGATGCAGAATCGACAAGAATGTGACAAAATCCTAATTCTAATCATTTTCAACATTAATTCAATTAATCCTAAAACTAATAGGAAAAATTAATCAAAAACATCACCAAGTCATAAATCAACATGCTAATATTCTCACAAAATTTCGTCCAAAAATTATGTAAGAAAGTGTCGAAATTATTTTGCACAAATTCAATGTAACCATAGGGAACTGAATACACAGGCTAGGGGTGCATGAACCAATAGAAGGTGTGATAAGTTTCAGTAATAATTCTACGCAAGAGGCCCATTCCAGAATAGAGTCCATAACCCGTTTTTGGTTCTTCAGCATTACATTATGTCAAAAAACGGACCAATGGGCCAAGGAAAAGGTGTTAGCAGCAATTGGATCCAAGAGCCCAACAAATTCTGATTAAGTCCAAGCACACTTCCACAACTCTTCCAACTTTTTATATATAGTAAATTCATTGTCAACAAATATTATAAAAAAAAGAAGAAATTAGTTCAAAACAAAACGAAGAAAAAAGAAAAATTGGTGTAATTAGGGTTCAAAAGAGAAAGGGACGATTGAGCTTCGCAAACTCTCATTCTCCTCTTCTCAAATGAGCGGTGCCAGTCTATCTCTCCGATCCATCATCGCTGACTCTCAATCCTCTATCTCAAATCAAACAACTCGTCCTTTTCTTTGATTCAGTCCTTCTTCTTCAACAAACGCTTCGCCTCATCTCCGACTCAAACGATTCTACGAAGTTACCTTCGCTCGAACACCACCATCGAAGCTTCTTCGTCCGTTCTGCTCCAGATTCCTCCGCCATGACTCTCAACCTCTGATCAACAAACTCGAAGTTCCTCTGTCATTGATCTTCCATTCTTTTTCTCTTCTACTCTTTCGCTCAGCACATATGCGTTCAATAGGATCTTAAATTTGAAAAACGAAAGCAAAACGAAGCCTAATTCCATGGTTCTGAATGTTCAAGTTGCAAGAAAACTCATCAATGGCGAAGAGCAGTCGAAGAAAAATGACTTACCTACCAGAAGTGTACTCCGGAGGTTCTTCAGATCTATCCAGATAGTGAGAAAATCAGAGGATTTCACGTATTTCATCCTTACTCTTATTCTCGTTCTCTTTCTTCAATTTCACGAGGTTATGTATTGAATTTTTTTTTGTTGTATACAAATTGTTGTTTATGACATTGTTGCGGAATTGATGATGGATGTGATGCGACGACTGTGCAATGAAGAGGACCAAAGATTGAAGGTATAATGAGGAATGAAGTAGAAGGTTGAAGGTGTATAAAGATGATGATGAAGTTGCGTGATGAATATTTTAGAAGGAGAGAGTTTTCGGGAATCCTCTGTGCAGTGAAGAAAAAAATGCTGATAAAGGAAAGCTTTTGTTTATATATTCTGTTAAAATATGGAAAAGTTTGTTAGAAGGGGATTGAATCTCAATTGTTGATTTCAGAAGTTGCTTAGAAGATTGGATGGTAGAGATCGATTCTAATTGAGAGCTTGAAGGTTCTGCTTTTTTGCTGTCTTTTCACGGTTTAAACTCTTCTTCACATTTCTATTTTACTTTTATGTTGCATTCTATTAGGAAGTTGTTAGAAGTTACCGAGCTGGAATTTTGTTAAGAATTTCTATTTTGAATCGTGAAAGATCCCTCCCTCTCTTTTTTGTTTTTTCTGTTAAGCTTGCTGGCAGCAGTTAGAAATTTGTTACTGTAGTTAGAGGATAGACAGTTGTTTTGACTGTTATTAAATAAGCTATTAATTTCTGTTTTTGGAAGTTTGGTTATGAGTTTGTTGGGGTTGTTATTCTGTTAGTAGAGTTTTTTACTCCTCTGAGCTTTGAATCAGTGCAGGTTGGTATTATGTTAGCTATTTCGATTGTGGATTTTCCCAATTCTTCTTGAATATCCATAAACGGAATCCTTGAATGGATGATGAATGAACTTGTGAACTTTCTCGTATTGAAATGGTCTTGATCACCTGAATTTGGAAATCTGTATGAAACCAATGCTTGAATCTAATTCTTAAACAAAATCAACTTGCACTTTCAATGAATCCTTAATTCATTTCCATCTTCTAATCCGTACTAAACTTGTATGTTAAGAAACAAGTATTTGAAATAATGACGCCTTGAGCACAATGAACCTTTAAACTCAACACCTTGTATCATGGTTCAACAGTGGTCTTAACAATCAACAAAGCCTTGAGGAAATCTGGAGAATGAATATGGGAATATAGAAGATAGCCTTAACTTGAAAATCCAATGATCCTCAGTAGAATATTAACAGACGAAAACCCTAATTCATAAGCCTTGAAGAAATATTGTAACTTGATGTTGGGAAGAAAGAATACCCCTGTAGTTTGACAATAAAGCAGTCCAGGAGATAAAACCCTAGCTTCAAACAAATGATTGATGGAGAAATTAACTGAAACAAGCTTGTGCAAAGATGAGAGCCTTAAAGCCATACAATAATCCGAATTCCTCGAAATCCATGATCCCATGCCATAAATTTATTGATTAACGATGCATGACACACCAAATGACCTAACGGGAGGTATGTACATGAAACGAGAAGTGCAAAATGCATAAGCCAGATAAAAGTAAAAGAGTAGGATAAATTTGGGGTATTACACTACCCAATCTGGGCCCCTTCATACCTCCTCGACAGGGGCTACTTCTGTAACACCCGTAATTTAATTAATCATTTAATTAAATTATTTTTGGAATATTTGTGAAGTTGTGTTATGTTGATAGTTGATGTGTTATTGTTATTGGATTTATTTATTCTACTAAACTGTGGAATAATATTAGAATGATATTATTTGATGTGGGCTTGTTTCAAAGAATAGAAGTAGTAGAAAAGGGGGTGTAGTAGTTTTAAGCCCATTAAGGCATAATAAGAATTATAGGGTTATTATATTAGTTTTTAAAAATACGAAGAAAAGAAGAAGTTGTAAGAAGAGAAGGAAATAAGGGTTGGAAGGAGAGAAAGAGAACGTGAAAGCTGCAAAAAAGAAGGAAAAGAGGTAGAACGAAATTCAATCGAAAAAGTTGTAGAGCGACCTTCAATCCAAGGTAAGGGTGGGGTTCTGACTCTATAATAGGGTTATGATGAATAGTATGTGGGATTTGATATGAAAGATTGTTTGGTTTATGATTGAATTATATACGTTGTTGTTTGATGAGAATCGATGATTTAAGGATGAATAATGATGCCCTAATGCTGTATAATTGATGTAGAAATATAGGATAATTATAATTGATGATTACCTATGATTAGAGAATGTTTTTAAGGCCTAAAGCATGGAAACCACAATGAAAACATAATGAAATCGTAGAAAATATTCATGGCAGAATAGTATGTGTCGACCCCAAAAGCCATGCGTCGATGCATGAAGGATTTTAGACTCAGGATGAGTCGATACGAAGAAGTCATGCCTCGATACATGCAGTTTTTTAGACTCAGGATGAGTCGATACATAGGACCATGTATTGATACATGCAGTGTTGCAGACTCAGTATGAGTCGATACAAAGGGAGTACGCATCGACTCATGTAGCGTGTTAAGCCCAGTACGCGTCGACTCAAGATGTTATGCGTCGACCCATGTAGTCTGGTTTTTGACAGAATCGTTTCCAGAGGCTGTAACTTGAGTTTTCGGAATCCGTTTAAGGTGTCGTTCAAAGTGTTGAATAGATGACGCGGTGAGCTTCATTCTTAAGGATTAAAATGAAGGATAAGGAGAGTAAATCCTAGTATCCAAATTAGGATTATAGTTAGTTTCTGTGTTAATCGCTATGATGATTTTGTGAAGAATTATGAGGATGAGATGATTATAGATTATTGTTTGGTTCATAGCAGTAAAAATTAATGATGATAATGATGTAGTATTACAGAATAAATAATATGTAGAGGTTTGGTAATTTATAGGTAAGCCTTAGATGATTAATTAATTATAGGCAATATCACGTTGTAGGCCTATGGTCAATGTTGCAATATTGATGAGTTACTGTTGTATTGTTGTATGGCTGAGTTATTGATGAAATAATGTTTGATGAATTATGTTGATAAATGATGTTGATGAATGATGTTGAGATGCCTCTAATAATTGGCAGCTATTAAGATGTATGCTTCTGGCCAACGATGATGTTGTATTAAGATGTTGTTAATTATGGTTGTTGTCATTACATTCATGATTGTGTCGCATACATTGCATTTCAAGATGGAGCTGATGCTCGTTAAGATGGCCTGTATTAGCGAATATTTAGATGAAGGCTTATGCCTTGTTGATGCCTCTATTTATTGGCAATTATTTTGAGATGGGAGTTCTGCTCCAATCTTACCACGTGCATTTGCATAGTAGTGAGTCGCATTATATGATGGCATACAAAAGTTTTGTATTGATGCGGTAAATGTGTATATTGTTGGTATTTTGTTGCGATAATTGTTGTTTATAAGATGAGAAGTGGTGATATTATGTGATTTAATTTAATATATTATTTATCATACGTTTCATTATATTGTTAGATATCTCACCCCTTCTGTTTGAATGTTACCCTTATGTTGGTAACATGCAGGTAATCCAGAGTGAAGGCAGTATACCTTCGGTAGTTTGAGTCAGTGTCATTGCTCTGATACGTAACACTCGGGGGGATGAACGCTTGTTACTTTTAATTATTGATTATTTCAGTTGTTGAACTTTAATTTGATTGTTGCTAAGTATGTGTTGTTTTGTAGTTGCTGTAAGGATGGATAAAGATGTTATTAAGAATTCTGCTGCGTAGATGTTTAAGCTGTTGAATTAAGAGATTAAATTATTATGCTGACAGTTGATCCGAAGTTTTAAAGTTTTATGTATCCACGTTGAATGCAATGTGTTTTTTAAGTTGAATTTGTGGCATCCTGATTCAGTTTCTTGAATTTTATGACTCTAATTTGCATATATAATTGCCGGGTAGAATTGGGGTGTTACAAAGTTGGTATCAAAGCAAAGGTTAGTCTGTCTGACCAAGTTGTCAAGTCGTAGTTATCTAACAATCGAGTATTGTTAATTTGAGTTATAAACGTTGTTTATGTTGTAGTGATAAGTTGAGATGACTGGAAGGAATGATGCTGCACTTGCTGCTGCTTTAGAAGTAATGGCGCATGCAATGGAGAATCAGCTGAATGCTGACGGGAATGCTGGATCTCGTAGTTTGGCGACCTTCCAGAGAGAGAATCCGCCTACCTTCAAGGGAAAGTATGATCCTGACGGAGCATTGGATTGTTTGAAAGATATTGAGAGAATCTTCCATGTGATGGACTGCACTCCAGCGCAGAAGGTTCGATATGGTACTCATATGCTAGAAGTTGAGACTGATGGCTGGTGGCTAGAGACTTTTCAGAGATTGGAAGCTGCAGGTGAGAATGTCACTTGGGTTGTGTTCCATAGGGAATTTCTGAGGAAGTACTTTCCTGAAGATTTTCGTGGTAAGAAGGAGATTGAATTCCTTGAGCTGAAGCAAGGGAATATGTCGATTGTTGAGTAGGCTGCAAAGTTTGGCGAGCTGGCTAAGTTTTATCCGCACTACACTGAGGCAGATGCTGAGTTTTCAAAGTGTATCAAGTTTGAGAATGGGTTGCGCCCAGAGATCAAGAAGGCAGTTGGATACTAGAAGATCCGTGTCTTTGCTGATTTGATTGATAGTTGCAGGATTTATGAGGAAGATAATAATGCTCATTACAAGATTAGTAGTGAGAAGAGGGGTAAGCACCAAAATAATAGTGGTAAGCCTTATGATACCCCAGCTGGTAAAGGTAAACAGAAAGCTGCTCAGGGTCAGAGGACTAGTGAGGGAAATGCTCCTGCTGGTGTGGTTTGTTTTAAATGTGGGAAACCTGGGCATAAGAGTAATGTGTGTACTACTGAAGTAAAGAGGTGTTTCCGTTGTGGTAAGAACATACATGTTGTATCTGAGTGCAAGCATAAGGATGTGATTTGTTTCAATTATAGTGAAGAAGGGCACATTGGTAGTCAGTGTCAGAAACCAAAGAGGGCACAAACAAGTGGCAAGGTGTTCACTTTAGTTGAGGATCAGACAGCTGCTAAGGACATACTTATCAGAGGTACATGTTTCATTAATAGTACTCCTTTAATTACTATTG